AATTCCCAGTAAGTTAGAGGCGATGTCCAAGGAACCTTCCGCAGGCTCCAGTGTGCGGCCCTCAGGATAGCCGCAAGGGGTTGAGAAAAAGGACCAGGATAGGGCCCACTTGCCGGACAAATCACTCCCACCAGTACCAGTACCGGTAGTACAGATGAAGGGCTAAAACTTAGGCCGAAAAATCAGAATATCATGAATCTTTTTATTCGTGTGTACTTTTATCTTCGACTGCATTCTCAGCCATCTTCTGCTACAGTGGAATATGTTTATTTATTTAGTAGAATATACTCAATTCTGTTTTTTTTTCGTATCGTTTTTTATTGATTAAGGGGTTTTGATATTTAAAAATGATTTTTTTTTTTTTATTTACTTAGATATATAATATTCTGTCTGGACAATAATTATAGTGATATATGAACACATTCACACCGTATATACAAAAAAAATAAAATAAAATGATTAAAAAATATATATGAAGTTTAGTATTTTAACGGCTACTGACAGCCTCAGTCCCCAACATTCTGAAAGTTATATTTTAACACATAGAGTGCTACCAATGGGTAGTTTCTCAACATGTGTTCCATGTCTTTATACCAATGTGCAAATTTACTAGATGTATTTTTTTGTATACAGTTGTAAATATCATTTAAAATAAATAAATAAATACATATTTTAACACTATATGTAAATAACTTCATGAAAAATGAATTTATTTTAACACTATATCCCCACATATCCCCACATATATTACTACAGTAAGGCTCGAAATCGGTTTTGTACCGAATATAAGCTCCTGTCATGCTCAAATACCATGAATAGGCTAATGTTGAATTCAGAATATCACGGGAGTTAGAGAATCGTATTCTCCACTTTTGTTTTTCTTTCTAGAATAAATAAAGTCGATACAAACATTTTGCTAGGCTTCAATACTGTAGGAACGGTGGTAGGTCTGTAGATCGATACGGGACAAATTGGATCTTGAAGATTTTGATGCGTACAGCAGGACCCTGGTAGTTCCTCCGGAACTATCGTATCCTGCGTTTTTAAGCCCAAAAACGTACTATTTTCGAGATAACGCAAGGCATAGGGTTCGCATGCACACAACCTTACATTAATGTCATTGAATACATGTCTCATTTCGTCGACGTCTATGGTCGAGAAAGGAGGAGTTGATATTATTTATCGATGATGTTTTTGATCGGCAAGCCATATCATCGTTAATTTTTCAACAAACTCAAGATCGAGCCGCCAATTTCGAATGCTTCCTTCTATTTCAGGCGGGTAAAATAGTCTAATCACCCCGAAAATTCAGGCAGAGAAGTTATGAAAGAAAACAAACTTTATTTGAGAATAAGTAAAAAATTACACAATTTTCCCTTTAGGTTTATGCCCATATGGTTATGCCCAAGATTATATAAAAGATTACTAAATTCCCTACAAAATGAAAAAAAAAAATCATCGAAATCGGACAATTTTTAGCAAAGAAACAGCTTACTGAAATTTGTAAACATGTTGGTTCCAATCTATATATATTTAAATCTTCATTTCCAAACAAAAATGAAGATTTAAATTAATTTTTGTTTCCTTTGTCGATTATATTTATCGATAAAGTAAAATTTTATTTCTTTATCTTTTGATACGTTATTTTATTTTATTATTATTATTATACGTTATATATATATTATTATTTTATTTTCTTATTAATTTGGTATTTGATAACAATATACTGTGAGATTTTTTAGCACGGGCCTACTAGTTTAAATAAATTCATCCAAGATGCATTTATTTTAACACTTTATTTAAATAAATTTTTCAAAAATGTTTTTAATTATTCTGATGAGAAATAATAAAAAAAAAAAATATTAAAAATTAAAACCTTTCTATTTTTGTCGCTTGATTCAGTTTTAGCTTCCTCTGGTATCCTGGCTCATTTTGCATTTTGTTTTAAGATAAGTTCACATTAATTATTAAATCGAAGTCTTTTTAGCTATATATAATTGTCAACCTTAAAAAAAGTTAATTGTGGCATATAATTATGAAAACGAGTAAACTTTCATACAAATCGATTTGACACTTGTGAATTTTTGTGACAAACGCAGAAAAGTTTATTATCTTTTAAAATGTCATTTGTAGCACAACATTATCCAGTCCCATATTATTTTATGTTATTTATTATATTTTTAACAGCTATTTTTCATCAATGAATTCCTATGTGATTTCCCAAAAATGATTCCCAATTTCTTTGCCATCGTTTTAAATAAAATATACTGATTTTTTAAATGAAAATACTTAACAATGAACAAGAAGTCTAATTTAATGATGTACAATGAAAGATAAGTCATATATCATATAATTAATGCTTAGCAATGGAAATGAAGTCATATCTAATGTTATTATTTGATGCTTAGCAATGAAAGATAAGTCTTATCTAATGCTCAGTAATAAAAGAGAAGATATCGAAGTATAGAACACAATAGGAACGACTAGCACGAAAAATAACGCAACTTTTATTAAAAAATCAATATGTTTTGATTAAGCGAATAATATATTTCAAACTTGATGAAATTTTCGAAAAATATCAAGAAATCTCAAATTAAGCATGTAATACGCTCTGATAAAGCCACTTCTTTAAGTCTTAATGATTTGAGAGAAAAATTCTCCTCATAATAACCGGAGCGATCTGGAATGAGAGTACTAATGCGGAGGAGAAAGATCAATAAAGTGCTGCTTACATAAAATGGTCAATTAATACCTCATGATATGATGCAAGGAGGTTAAAATGGATAGCTTGGAGCCATCAATTTAGAACCCCCCACACAATAACGAATGTCTTGTGCCACTCAGTAGGTGGCAAAGACCACGTAGCAGAGGTACTAAAACCAGGGTAGATCGAATCAACATAGATGCAATAGAGATAACTTGATAACTGTTAAGATATAGCCCAAGAGAGGCCAGTGATGGTGAAGGCTGGTATTCTGCTGGTATAGGCTGAAAAATGAGCTTGCTCGAAAGGTAGCACAGTAGTAAATTTTAGCTAAAAAAAACTAGCCAAAAATAGATCCAGGTAGGATTAATTCGAAATTTTTTTCTCTTAAAATAGTTAAATCTTAAGCTTACACACAGCTATAATATGTATAACTGCAGCTAATTTACGATATCTACATGCACAAGTTGATTATTTAGAGTTGTTCGTTGTGACTGTATGCAATATGCAATTATTATTTATTTATTTTTTAAACATATTTATTGAAATTTACAACTGTATTACATGAAAAATACAACAAGCATTTTTGAAATTAGTAACATGAGATATAGAACATGAAGAGAAACTACCCATTGGTAGCACTCCAATTATAGTTCTATATGAGAAGGTCCCGAGGCAATCTTCTTTTCAGATGCTTTGGAGGATAGCCCAGTAACCTTGTCGTGAAAAGGGGGATCTAAGTTGCATCGAATGGGGGTAGAAGATTTTTTTTTTCTTGTATGAGATGTGACTGAGACGCAAAATCCTAGCTTTTGACCCCCTCCCCCCCTCCATCATCCCTCCTTCAAAATATTAAAATGAATAGATCTTTACTTCCCTGACTCGTATCAGACAGGTTATTGATGATAAAACACAATTGCGTATGATAAAAAATGAAGAATATTTAAAAAATTTTCAAACTTTGAAAAGAAATAAAAAATGTGTATTTCAAAAACTTTTTATGTAACGATTTACCGTGCCTGTTATGGTCATAAATTGTAGTATATTTAATCTAGTTGAGAAATTTAAAGTATCTCTTTTGCCCAAAACGTGCTCCTTCATGGTTATAATGAAAAAACACGTGCGAAAAATTAGCAGTTTTAGGGATTTTTAAAAGCGATCCGGGGGAGATGCCGAGGATGAAAACTTGGATTTTTCATATCAGTCACATTCCATATAAGAAAATAAAAAGGACCTTCTACCCCCATTCAATGCAACTTACGATGTAAAAGGTTACTAGGCTAGGAATAGAAGAGGAAGCAAGGTTAGAAACTAGGTGGTTTAAAAGTTTATTATTGAAGGATAGGTATCTGGATTGAGCTAAATCGGAAACATATGATAGATTAAGGTCGTTATGGCTGATTTTATTTGTGACAAAGTAATGAGTATCGAGCATTTTACGAAGGATTTTGGATTTGAAGGATTAGATACGAGAGGAATTTGATGGTTTAGTAGAGCCCCATAGCTCGATCCCGTAAGTCCAAATAGGCCTTATTATTGTAATATATATGAGTCTTTTGTAAATAATTAGAAGTTTAGAGCTTTTGTCTAGTAAGTGCTGGAGTAGTCGAAGACGTCGAGCGGTTTCTAGTCGTTTCAGTCTGGTATGAGCATTTCAAGTGAGTCGTTTGCCCAGGAGGAACTTGCAATTATTAAAGTTTTTTTCTGATGTTTTTATATATGAAATATTTATAACAATGTATGTACCGTACCATTTTGATGCATTTCCAACATTAATCAAAGATTAATATATAAATAGGTACGGTTACTAGGTTGGTATGTTATAATTGTTTTTGATTTTTGCAATACACTTCAACATTTCCTTATTGATTAAGCTATATTTCCAAAAGCTCCCGACCTTTAATTTTTACGTGATCTTGAAGGATATGGTTTATTTTTTATTTATTTACGATATTTCTTTTGGTCCCTGGTACTTTGCACTGAAATAAAATTTAAATCCTTTTAAAAAATATCAATTTTTTTAGTTTTTAAAACTTTCAATATACTAGGGTCCTCTGGGTCGAGGTATACTTCATTCAATATACTTCATGTCTGGAGTCAAGGTAATCTTATGGACACAACTGCATGACAAGATCCAACAACAAGAAGGCCTAAATATAAACGAGAAGCTTAAATGAAAGTTTTGCTGGTACAAGCTGAAGAGCTGTATTCATGATGAAGCAAACACGTTCAAACAAGTTCTTCCACTATTTAAAGCGCAATTTAAAGTAAAAATGGCCAGCAGCTCAAAGAAAGGATGAGAGCCTTAGGAAAACATACGGAAAATAGATCAACGAAAATGTTATCCAAAGGCACAACAGCTAATCTAAATCAAGGAAATGGTCGGTTAACTAAATATTTTGAATACTCTAGTGACCAAAGGAGAAAGGAGAGCTGCTGAAATCACCTCAAACTGAAGAACTTATATTTTTCATAAAAATTATACACAGAGCCTCTGGTAAAGCTGATGCATCATAAAATGTATTTTTTTTTTTTTTTTTGTAAAATTGTAAATAATTCCTTTTCATTTCTCCGAAAAGAACTAAGAGGTATAGAAGAGCTTATGTAGAATTTGGGAAGAAGGAGCTCAGACATGAAACAAGCGCTTTCGATCATATATTCTATCTAATTCTAGAAAATTTTCCAGAGAGACGTGCAATAGTAATGTTTGAAAAATGCTCCTTTTAACATCAGTTCCTATTTTGACTTCCATAACAACTATCCCGAGAAAAAATATAAAGCCTTTTTTAAAAGAGACTTTAGATCTGTTGGTGCCTATTGAAACTCCAAATATAAGGTTATGTATAGAGGAAATGAAACTAAAGTAGAAGTCCATTTGAAAATGAAGTGGAAGAAAATTATGATAAAGAAACCTTCTATGTAGAATCAATTCACTTGAAACCTTATGTCTAAATAAAAGAGTTTACGTCCACAACATCTGTTATTTAAGAAATTTACTTATATTTATTTATATAAAAAGTACCCTACCTTTAATTAAATTAAAAATACCAGTTTTTACACTTAAAAATTTCATTAAGAGAGCAACGCGTTTTTATAACAAAATTTAAATAATTATTCAATTATTGTCCACTTATTATTTCTATAATATGCCATTTGTCCCTAAAAACTATTCCTACAATTATATTGCTTCATAAATTAATTAATTCATAATTATATTGAATCATAAAAAAGTTCATAAATAATTTTTGCCAGTTTTTTTAGGTCAAATTTAGTACCATAGGCAGATTTACGGGGGGGGGGGGCTTTCGGGCTGAAGCACCCCCCAAAATGGTAAAATATAATCATGTTTTACAGAAAAAAAATATTAAAAACTATCTCTTAAAGTATTCATCTTCGTTTAATTACATTTAATAGGACTTCAAGAACCACTTAAACACCATTTCATATAGGTAGTTAATTTCTTTTTTTTTTCAAATTAATTATCGTTATATGTATATGAAAAAAAATCTTTCAGGCTTAAGCCCCCCCCCCCAAAAAAAATTAAATCCTGAATCCGCTAGTGTTTAGTACTATATATCGTCCAAAATAAAATTATTATTTGTAACGATACCTATGTAGAAGGTAACACTCTTAGGAAAAATAATTTTATTTCGTTATGAAGTATTAAATTTAACTAAAGAGAAGAATAGTTGGGGTCGTCAGTCAAAAAAGAAAGCAAAAATAAATGATAATATTTATTTTTACATATGCCGCCGTTTCGACCTGAAGTTCAGAAATCAAATAATTTTCTCCCTGCAACACTTTTGGAGACAGCCCTGATGAAGGCCTGAACTTCAGGTCGCAACGTCGGTATATGTAAAAATAAATATTATCATTTATTTTTGCCTTCTTTTTTGACTGACCACCCCAACTATTCTTCTCTTCACTATCCACGACAGTCAACCATTTACCAATGATTTTCAATTTAACTAGTTAGTATAGAGTGCTACCAATGGGTAGTTTATCAACAATCGTGTTTAATGTGATTATATTCCTCTGTACACATTTACTTGATGTATTCATACTAATACAGTTGTAAATATGACAATAAAAGAAAAAAAAAATAGTTAGTTATTTATATAGCTTGAGAGGGTTGAGACTGTGTTTTTGGGATCCTCCACATATACAAGAAGTTTTTTATATCACACTTTGCCTCTTGGTCCACAGTATCTTAATGATTCCTTTGCAACTTTTCAGGTGGAGACTACCTGATCGAGATCAATGGTAATGTCCTCAACGTTTACGGACAAGGCGCACTCCGTTTCATTGACAGACCTTGGAACACATCAAAGGCCAAAGAAGTTACCACGGTGAAATTTAGTTACCTCGACTTCAATTACATATCCCTCATACTAGGAAGAGTAAAATATAGGTTTCCTAAAGCGGAGAATTACTGTTTTGTTGAGACAAACATCTATTGCCTGGGTCAGATCAACGCTTTAGCTGACATTCAGGGCCTCACTTCACTGACCATTGAGAAAAAGGGAAATCCAATATCGGAGAAGGAATGGAGAAGCTATGCAATTTATCGCTTGTCACATTGGGGCTTAAAAACAATTAACGAATCACAGGTATGGACTTATAACTAACTAGTTTTAAAAATTCTCGTACGAAAATCTTTGAAAGAAAGAATTTCCAATTTTTAGTACTTTAATCCAAATACTAAATTATTCATTCACAGATTGAAATCAAGTCGAGTAAATCGAGTTCTAAATTATTTATGAAATAGATTAATATTTTTAAAACTCTAATCAACTGCATATCCGAATTCTGGATTATTGGGGCATCCGTTCACGTAAAGTGATACAAAATTATAGTTAATGATTTCAGCAGATTTTCATAATTTTCATTATTTAATTTAACATACATAAATCCCGTCAAATCATCTTTACCCTTCGTCGTAAACCTATGACTTCCTGTCCTACAATATCCTTCAATAATGCCCCACTTATTGGTGTTGAACAAATCGGGTACCTTGGAATCCAATTGGAGAAACGTCTAACTTGGAATCCTCATACCAGACTTAAACGACAAGAAATCGCTCGACGTTTCCGACTACTCCAGCACTTACTAGACAAACGCTCTAAGCTTCCAGTTAATTACAAAATACTCATATACATGACTACAATAAGACATATCTTGACATATGGAGTTGAGATTTGGGGGTCCACAAAGCCATCAAATTCCTCACGCATCTAATCCTTTCAATCCAAAATCATTCGTAAAATCCTCAATTCTCCTTATTTCGTCACTAATAAAATTATCTATAAAGACCTTAATATTCCTTATGTTTCCGAATTGGCCCAATCCAGATACCTATCCTTCCATAATAAACATCCGATCCCTCTCGTTTCTAACCTTGCTTTCTATTCGATCCCTAATAACCCTCCGAGGCGTCTGAAAAGAATATGGCCTCGAGATCTTCTATTGTAAATTCTTTTTTTTTTTTTTAGAGTACTACCAGTGGGTAGTTTCTCAATAAGTATTTTCATGTTGTTTTTTTTCTGTTATCACATTTACTTAATGTATTCTTTCTTAATACAGTTGTAAATATCATAAATAAAAAAAAATTTAACATACATTTAGGAAATCATGAACTAATAAAGTGTGTTTTTAAATATACATAAATGTAAATTCAATTGAAAATTGGAGCTTATATTACATCTAATTCTATTTCACTGTCATCCCGACTGTCGAAGAATATATAATTACGACTTCAAACTGATAAACAAAGAATCTGATCACATTTAGATTCCAATCCTTTTCTTCTATGTGCTTCTATTTTTATTCTAATTCTAAATAAATCTAATAACTCCCTCAGGAAAGGGAATAAAAGATATCAAAATGCTAATTTTTCATCCCCTCTAATGTGACGATGGCATCTGAAATACATTAACTGAGAATAGAGTACAAGAATTTTTAAAATATCTATCCAAGACATCCACTTCCCATCCTTAACATTACATCATCCATACAGCTAATTCTAAGGAATTCATCTTTTCACTTAATTCATTCTCCACTAACCCCAAATATTTCCTTGATAAGATTTTCACCCTTCCCAAACTATTCAATTATTTAGCGATTATATTCTTTACCTGCATATACAGTTGCATCCTTCGCACAACCCATTTTCCTCAGATGTGGAAACACTCTACAATTATTCTGTAGGCCAATAAGCGTTCTTTTGACCATTTCAAGATTGTTTGGAAGAATATTAACTATTCACAGTTCAACAAAATCTACGTATTATCTCAAGTTTTAGACCAGTTCAAACCCAGGAGCCATTTACTCCAATCCTTGTACTTAGTACTTAAATCCTACCTCTCAAATCGTTCTTTCCTAGTCCGCTATTGCTTAGAATTTTCCTATTATTATACGGTTGAGGTCGGTGTCCCACAAGGCAATATTTTGGGTTCTATTCTCTACATTCTCTTCACTGCTGTCATCCCTAAAAATTCCTTCCTAGCAGCCTTTGTTCATGATACCACAATCGTATGACCCTGGAATATGATCCCTAAACCCATAATGACCTCTTCCTGATTAAGCTGTGGTACAACGATTGGCGTATAATGGCTAATGAATCAAAATGTAAGCATGCCACTTTCTCCTCCAACGCATATCAGGTTTCTTATTCTATTTTATCTTCACACCACTGTCCGGCATCTTGACTTCCTTCTAGACAAAGCATTTTGAGAAAATACAAAGAATAGCCGACAAGAAAAAAATATTACATATAATTTTGGACAAGCAGTCAAGATAGGAGGCTTTAGATTCCTAGTTAATCACATCCTGACCAATATGGATATCCTTGATATATCAAAAAAATTAGCTAGAGGAAATAATCTCACTGTATTATGGACAACTGGACACTAAGAAATCGAAAACATTTTGTTTGAATATACAAAATCCATAATTAGGTCTTCAGAAAACTAAAAATTTCTCCTGGACACATTTACTATATGTATAATTAATGTGTTCGAAAAATTTCTTAATTCTTAATTCTTCGAAAAATCCTCAATACTTCTTATTGTTATACTCTAATTCTTATAATCTCGTTACTTTAAAGACAACTTATTCGAAACAATATTAATAATCCGACAATATAGACATATTCAAGATAAACTCAACATATCAACCTGCTCAAACTCTCTCGTTCATGATCTTTATTCCCAATATATTTTCGATAGTTCGTCAAATGTCCACGGAACTTTCAATAATATAACATTTATTAGAGTTATATTAATATGCAGTTATATCATATACAAATAACTTTTACACATCTTTAATAGCATTTATCTTTTTTTTAATGTACGTTTAGTAGATCTATTTAAAAACGAAAAAATGACAGAATTAATTTTATTTACTTACTATTTTTTCCCTTACGATTAAGACGTTTTGAATACCTATTAGAGACATTTAGGGCAGCATCCATTCATAACTTATATCAATAGACAATCGATAACAAAGTAATATAAATTAATAAAATAATAAATAGATGAATTAAATAATTTACTAAAAAAATTAACATCGGAGATAAAGGGAATCAAAGTTAATTTAAAAAATATATTTATTATAATTTATCTTAATAGATTTATCATTAAAAAGAAAAGTTAGATCGTCTAGACACATTTTGAAATCTACGTATTTAATTATCAGAGCTCTGAATGATGCTTTTCCTTCCGCATGTTGAAGGCAAAGCAGGACGTAGAACAAATTGATTTTGAAGTATGGGCCCACCCTGTAAAGCAAACGAAAAAAAAAAAAGAAAATGGCATCATCCGAGGTTTTCATGTTAAACCTTTTTTTTCCCCTTCTCTATTTACAGAACTTTAATTGAACTTTCTGCCCCAATATCTGCACTTTGAAGAAAAACAAAAAAAAAAAAAAAAAAAAAACTATCTACCTCAATACATTAATACGTTTCTAAGTACATTGATCCCATAAATTTTTTCATGCTACGTGGTTCTTGTATTAAGAAGATCACATATAAACATAATTAAATAATGTAACAATAATTTTTTTCGGAAAACATCAATTTGTTTGGTTGTGCGTTTGGCTAAAACCCACACACTAAAAAAAGGTTTTTAAAATAAACAAACTGCGCTTGTAGAAAACGCTGTTTTTATAAATTGGTCAACATTTTTTGTCGTGAAATTCTATGTTGTGTATATCAATAATTGTGAGAAAAATTAAAAAAGAAATGATATTGAAATTTAATTATTTATCATTTATATTTAAATTATCCTTCTTTTACAATGCATCTAATCTGAAGAATAGAAACTCATAACGCTCGGTTATAAAATTTTATTTATTTTACAAAATCTATATTTATTTAAGTCCATTGAAAAATCATACAGATATAATAGTGGAAATTACTTAATGAAAATGGAAAGATATTTTTACAATAAAATATGTCTTGATTCCTTTATGTTTGAGTAACTACGCCAATGACACATTTGTGTTTAGTTAAACATACTGCTACCCAAAACTGGTCTTGGTCTTGCACTTCGCAAGACCAAGACCAACACCGCCTATCTGTTGTAAGACCAAGACTAACGCTGGTAAAAAAAAAATCTATTTTTTGAATAAAAATTGAGAAAAAATAGTTACTAATACTTGACAATTTTAGTTACTATATATAAAGAATTGGTGTAACCAATATACTTTTGCATTTCACTCTTCTAATTTTTCATTCAGACTTAGTTAGGTTTCTACTACCTAAAAAATTACAGTAATATCACTTTAGTGATAAGCTAGTAGGTAACTACAAGACTGTTGCGAGACTCTTGCTCAAGACCAAGACCTAGACCAAGACTGAGTTTGTAAGACCAAGACTCCTCTCGGTCTCGCATTTGGGCAACACTAGTCAAACATCACAAACCCTGAGGAGTGGTGGATAAAACGAAACTGGAGGATAAAAATAATTTTCAACAAATCCCATCAAATCACCTTCAACCTTCGTTGTAAACCTAAGACTTCCTGTCCTATAGAATACTTTTATAACACTCCACTGGGCCCTGTTGAACAGATTTGCTACACATTATTAAACTATGCTTTAGATTGAAAATATTTCGGAGAAAATTTTCTAATTCAGATAAATGTTAACGTTTTTTCAATTATTTAAATTCTGCTCTGATTGAAGATTCGTTATAATTGGAATTGAATTATGTTTTGTTAATTTGGTAGGTGAAATTTGTTTTAAATGTCCATTTAAATGAAGACTTTTATAATTTGAAAACAGATACCTTTTAATATTCCAGGAGTAAATATAGTTGCATTTTCCAATCAGAAATTATTAATTGATAAAATTAAATCACTTAACAAAATATAGGATAGGTTAAAAAAACAACAAACTTATTATGAAACATTTCGTAAATTAAATTAGCTTTTAGAATGTTTGATTCTCAATCCTTTAAATCGTGTTAAATAATGTTGAATATAATTATAATATCAACAGACAATGACAGACAGTAATTATTTAAATTAATTTATAACTTATTAATAAATATATGTTTTACTTTTTAAATTAACGGTGCTGCGTTTTGTTTTTTTCATTTACGTAATTGAAAAAAAAAAACTAAGGATAATG